TTCATGCACTTTCAATTGACGATCGATGAGTACAATAGTATGAACTTTATCGATCATTCCCTGAGTAGTCATCTCTTTAGAACCGCTAATACGTTCAGCATCACTTGTACTCTTACAGCCACAATAAAACTCAGTAAACCATTTGAACCATGCCACGCAATTGAGCAGTCTTCATATTATTTCTTAAGTTTTTCTTCAGTTTCTTTAATTCATTTTTTGTTTAGAAAATAATGTTTAATAAGCACTCGGATCTCGCTTTTTCCCATGATTTTGTACAGTCAATGAAAATTTTAATTTCAATAGTTTTAAAAAATTTACAAACCAACGTGATGATTTGAAACTTTGCGTAGGCACTCATACTAAATGGGTTATATTGAAGTATAAAGTATATTACGACAATAGCACTATCTTTTAAGAAGTCACGGATTTATTGAACGACTCTCGTAATACAGCTATGTAAAATAAATATTTATTTTTAAAATATAGGCATGAAAACATTACATTTAAATAATTTGACAGATATTCGTAAAATTCTGATTTTGCGCGCACGTGCCTAGGAATATAAATCAAAAGAACGGCACGTGTTCGAAACACTAGATGCCCACTCAATTGTAGTAAACAAAGCTCTGACCCGTTATAGCCCCTACCCCTTCGTTATTCATTTATTTTTAGAAATAAATTTCACATTCCTTTTTTTATGAGCCATCCAGGCGAAAGGATCCTTCAAACTTCCTTTCCAGGAGACGTGAAAACCCAGCTGTGATTGATCGTTTCTCCCGATCGATTCCTGAGACTTTCTCTCAGCTCTGCACACCATTATACACTCGCACACTCCGCACGGGAAATGCCAAGCGTCGTGCGAGAAACAGCTTACGACAGATTTCTTTTTTTTTTTTTTCGACACTCGCTCGCGCGTCATTAGCCGACACTCGACTCTTGCCTCAATTCCAGCTTTGCCTAGTGTTGGCTTTTCGAGTTGTAACTATAACGTAAAGCGACGCCACTTTGCTTTTCTGGAGCAACCCTAATTGCTGCGTAATTTACGCTCGAGTGAAGACGTGTTTATCGAATGCGTGCGTAAAAATATCGATATACTTCTTTTTTCCGATTCCTCGCCTATGGACGGCGTGTCGCAATTTTTCTCGTGCCTATAAGGCTCAAAGAAAGAGAGATTGGTGTGTGCTTACTTTGTTGTTGCCTTGTTGGGAAAAACAAATTCGATTGATTTCTTTTTCCTTATTGCGATCCATTACTAAAATTAAACAAGATCCGTAGCGAGAGAGTGCAAATATATTGAGTAAATCTTGAAAGATGCTGTGAGCATTGTTGTTGTATTAAGTTCAGTCGTTGTTTCTTAAAAGACATGATTTATTCAAGGGTGACGGGATCATACGATCATAAATAGTCACATTCTTTCGGGGCATGCTTGTTCAATGATTCATGTGGTTAGAGAGTGTGGCAGTGCGGGATACATGTCAATCGTTTCATTAAAAAATGCGCGTTGGTCTTTTTTGGCAAGCGTGTATCCAAAGCGGATCAATTTTTTGAATATACGTACTGCACATGAAAGAATTAGCTTTGCTTCTGATATGAAAAGTTTCTTTTTGACCTACCACTCAAAGGATTTAGGGCAAGTGTGATTGGAATTCTCGCGAATCTCTACAAAGGACTAAATTTCCTATTTACGATAAAGGAACTACCTTTGATCCATTATTAAAGGATAGAAATCAATTTCTTTTAGACAAAAATATTTCATTCCGCAATATATTTTTAATTTCGAAAACATTCAATCCTGCCAGGAAAATAAAAAACAAGAAATTTATTGCTCTTACTTTGAACTGGTGGCCATCGTCAAACATTCATAAATATATTGGTAGTTGCACACAAACAGACTATAAATAAGTTTTCTTGATACTGCACATGCTTAAAGGTCGCGGTGTTGATTCTACGTATTTATATGAATAAACTACGATTTTCCAAAAGCTCCTGGGATTTAGATATTTCATTGCTTTTGCTCGTGCTTGCATTACTTTATTTGTTTTTCATCATAAATTTCGCGACCCTTTAATATTGCTACATAACTTTCACTTATAATTCTCATATTTTAAATCAAAGAAAAATATTAAACGTACGACACAACTAAGACAAACGTTATTTTTATAAATAAATATATAGCCATTATAAAAGGCTTCTATTTCATCAATGATTATTAATTATTTCAATCATTTCTCTTCAATATCGTCAACGTTGACGTTCGTCCAATTTTGGAAAGGTCTTACAATGAAAATTTGCAGACATGCATTTTTATAATTTTACTTTGAAATTAATGCCTATAAGTAATAAAATATGCTATTTCATTTATAAAAGTTTTTACTATACTCACATAGTATACATTTGCTAGCTTATTCAACAAGATTGATTTACTCTCGAACGTTACTTTGAAGCCGGCAATAACCGCTATATCGCTGCGTCAAAGTAGTAAAATTCGAGTTTGGTCAGGCATCCGCCCATGCAATCGTACTAACTTTTGATGCAAATAGTCGGAGTTTTAAATTAAATTTTGTAATTTTTTCCCGACCGAAAATGTAAAAGCACGTGCAAAAGCAGCGAAATTCATTATTTTACATTGCAAAATACTTTTCTACCTAGCCGTTACTTTTTTTCTGCAGTTGTTGAATCTAATACATTTACTTTGACATACGCACTGTAATTGGTCGTCGGAACATTTTTTACTACGTAAGTGGGTCGGTAGTAGAATGTCACCTCCAAGAAAAAAACAAAACAAGAAACATTTGCGAAACTTTATTAAAGTCGTGAAGTTAAATAAAATTTGCTTTGCATGAACTTAAAGAATGATAAACGTACTGGTGAAAATGTGAGTGGACAGAAATAATTGAATTGCGAACATTTTGAAGAATTAATGAAAGAGATAGAGGTGACTGTGAGGCGACACGTGTCTCGGGGAGTGCAAACACTCGAAAAGGGGAAGCCCGCGACGGCAAAGTACCGAGCGCGTGGGAGTAAAGCGACCGACAGAGAGAGAGAGAGAGAGAGATGGAGTAAGAGGGGTATAGATATGTACGCGGCATCAAGAGTAGCAAAGCGATAGCTCGAACGAGTCTATAGGTGGAAAGAGAGAGCGACGGAGATAGAGCCCTATGGTGAGAATAGAGACGGTGGACGGAGAGTACTGGCAATGGTCGCGTCGAAAGCAAGCGAGAGCCAAGGATACATATCGAGGCATGCGCACTCCTATCATATTGATCTCGCCATAGTAACGATTCCCTCTCTCGTGCGGCGCTGGTGCTCGCTCTCGCTACCTCACCGCAGTACAGAGAGAACTCGTCCCTGATATATAGATTCGACGCCTCTCCTTTCTTTCTGTCTTTTTTTTTCATGCACATCCCAACGATTCTCTATCTCTCATGCACAGATTGCACACTTCAAAGCTATGCATGCGATGATCCAGGTAATTCGTCGCGAAGCACGTCTATCTAACGAGCTTGCAACGGATACCCGTATATGTATGTTCGACGACGATTCCCACGCGCACTCTCTCTTTCTCTCTCTCTCTCCCTCTGTACATGCAATCCAGATTGAAATGCTCGCTTGGGGAATGGCATGTTTTGACTAATTTACCGAAGACACGCGCCATCAGTCCAACATGCTATCGATCTACAACGAGGAGCTATTGATTCATCCGCTTGCAGTAACTATTTCGTCGCTCGATACTCGATACTTTACTAGCTTGCCCGACGAGAATTCTAATATTGCTAATTATGCATTTCGCGGTGGAGCTATTAAATTCACCAGAGCTGATCTCTCTCTCTCTCTCTCTCTCTCTCTCTCTCTCTCTCTCACACACACATTTCCATTTACTAGGACGTAAAAATATTGAGCTAAAATATCTCGCGAAGAGAGCTGAGATTTTTGCTACGTGCTTTGCAAGATATAGGTCATACGTAGATTAGAGAAAATGAAAATTTTCAGTTTTATTTTTCTTCGCTTGCGACTTCTTCACCGCAAGAAGGCAGCGAGAGCCATACTGGTAAATAAACGAAGGTATATCAGCAGACTGGTAGCAAAACTGTCCTGACGAAAACTTCTCTCACAACTCCAGTCCCAAAATAGTAGCGTACGGCAGTGCCAAACGTCGTTAGTCAAAGAGTTTGACTCGACGTTTCAAATGATTACCAAGTCTCGCCAACTGCTACCACTCTCTCTCTCTCTCTCTCTCTCTCTCTCTCTCTCCTTCTATCTCAATCTACCTAATTTCCAGAATCAAAATTTCTGCGACTTGCACGAGGTTTGACTATCGAGCAATTCGAGTGTTGTCAAGCTAGGTGGTGTGTTGTGCCGATAGATAGCATATTGAGAAGTTCGTCATTTGTCTTGCCGCACGTTCTAGCATGCTTATTGACTAAACACCAATAGAGAGAGAGAGAGAGAGAGAGAGAGAGAGAAGGAGAGAGTGAGAGCGCTCTTTTAGCAATGTCCTTTATTGAGCTTGGTGTGTACAGTTGGAATTTGGAGTTGGTGCTTTTCTTGTTCAAAGAGCTTGTTCAAAGATCAAATCTTCCTTCCACTCTGTGCTCGTCGTTTATTCTGTCTGGTGGGTATGGTGCGTCTTTGGTAAATACTTTCGATTGAATGTCATTGTTGGCGGCGGCAGTGGCGAGCAGCATGCGTTCGCGATAAGAAATGAGTTCACGAAAAAGCAGCCGCTCTGTCGGTCGAGCTCGCGGGCGGTCGTCGAGACAAAGCAGGCAGTGCAGCGACAAGAGATCAGGCATGAAAGAGGGGTTGGGCGAGTTGTGCAGCCGGGGTGGGAGATGTCGTAAAGGGAACAGCAGGCAGGCTGCGTGAGCGAGAGAGAGAGAGAGAGGGAGTGGGTGGTGGAAAGGGGACGAGAGAAGGACGGAGAAGTAAGGCGCGCGCTGTGAGGTCGCGGGAGGCTGCGCGCGCCTGCCTGCAGCAGCAGTAGCGGAGAGAGAGCGAGCCAGATCAGAGTGGAGCAGAGTAGAGAGCTCGGGGTTTTCTCTCTCGTAACGAGCGCGTGCGCCCGCAGTCCGGCGCTGCTCGTTGCGAGGCTCGCACCACACGTATCATTTCGACCGCCCGACGCATGGCGCAATAGTGGTGAAAGAGAGAGAGAGAGAGAGAGAGAGAGAGAGAGAGAGAGAGAGCGCGGGGGAGAGACGACGGGGAGATCCGTCGCTCGATCGATTTGCCGCCGCCACCGCTGCTGGCTCCGTTCCTCAGCAGCGTGAGCGAGAGAAAGAGACCCAAGAGAGCTAACGCCACCGCGAGTGTAGTATTATAATTAGCATGAGGCTGTGAGTGCGCAGCGATTTGCTCCGTCAGTAACAACAAGGGAATCGAGCTAGAGAGCGGAAAAGGCGTGCGCGAAAACGGGCAAAGCGAGAGAAGGAGAGCGAGCGAGAAAAGGGAAAACAAGCAGGAAAATAACGAGCTATGAGGAGGCGTAGCCCCGTGGAGGATGAGGCTGACCGGCGGCTACAGAGCCGTGATGCTAGTGCTACTGCTGCTGATGCTGCTGCTGTTGCCACTTGGAGGCTGCAGCACTGAGACAAATCTCGAGGAGGCGGATCGAGCTGGGGCAACGGAGGCTAGCGGCAAGAGAGCAGCGGCCCGCTCCGCGCCCTCGGGAACATGAGAGGAGGCTGGACCCTCATGGCGGCGATCGCCCTGGCTGCGTCGGGTGAGTCGATCCTAGCCATCCAAGCGTCCAGCTCAAAAACCTATAACTCCAACACACTCTCAGCCACACGTACTCATCTCACACGCACACACTTATCATGCTCGAGGTGAAACAGGTAGGCGCGATCGTTAGCATGCTCGTGTGCTTTGCAGCAGCAGCTAAGCTCGGCAGTCACGTGGCTCTTAGAAACGCGCCACACACATACGTACGCGCGCGCGTGAGCCTCGTCCAGTCGCTCCGTCCACTTTTTCAATTAGCTGATGCGCGTGTATCGGGGAAGGCCGTCTCGGTCCATGTTTTTCTTTTCTCTTGGTTGAGCGACCATCTCACAAAACAAAAGGAAGAAAAACAACGTTGGCTATGTGATTCTCGATTGCAGCTCGTCATTGTTCTTCCTCTCTCTGACGATGTCATCCGTAGATGAACGAATGAAAGCGAGAACGAGAATAAACGCGCGGGAACAGAGAGGAGCGAATGAGGCACACGGAATCCCCTCGAGGCTACTCTCTCTCTCTCTCTCTCTCTCTCTCTCTCTCTCTCTCTCTCTCTCTCTCTCTCTCTCTCTCTCTTCCTCTCTGTGGTACACGGCGATTGATAACGCCTGCGCTTACCACGGTGGCTGACTGACGAGGGGAATTCATTGCAAACCTGTCTTTCTCTCTCTGTCGTTCTCTCGGCTCATGGCTAATCTATATAACTATTCGTGACACGGCTCTGGTGACTCGTGTGCGTTCTCTAATTCGCTCGCTCTTTAAATACATCTCGGTTTTGTTTGACTTACGTTCGCATAGACAAATAGCCCTCCCAAGATAAATAGTAGCTCCATGCATCAGCTACCGAAGCATTCGGAGAAGGGAGATAAACTTTATTTTCGAGTTCTCGTCTGGATTTCCGTGGGAGTTTAACCTATATTTAACCACGAGCAGGTTAAAATTAAATGACGCGTTCGGCGGCCCCTTTCATACCTATCTATCTACCTGTCTTCCCGCTCGCGCACGCGACTCGACAACAGACATTGATTTTTAGCTATCATATCTATGCGCCTACCTGTTTCAAAGTGCTTCGCGACATATTTACTTACAAACAGACATATACACACTCACGCACGTACACTTGCGTACACGCAGACACACAAGAAGGAAAATACGGATGATACATTGGTCGCGAGTGAACGGGAGTGAAACAGAAAGCGTGTTGTATTACACGCGCCGCGAAAGGAGATAAAGAGAAAAAAAATAAAAGTTTGTTCCGAGGAGACATACGCTTTTTGCTTCCGATTAGTGTCACACACTGTTCGAGTGAGTGAGAGTGAGACCGAATGTCTGAAGTATAAACCGACTATCTCGCTCTGGACGCACGGTTATGTTTGACGGGCGTTGTTGGCTCTATTTTAATTGATGTGACGTTCTCTCTCTCTCTCTCTCTCTCTCTCTCTCTCTCTCTCTCTCTCTCTCAGTCTCTGTCTCTAACGTTAATTGTTCGTCGGGAAGGTTGTTTTGGGCTCTGACTAATATGGGGAGTATCTACCTTCCGACGGGCTTTTCCGGGGGATTTCCTGCTGATTAGTCGCGAGGGATGATTAAGGTGTTCCAAATTCCGTAAGTTACCGCCTCTACTACCTCGCGCGCGATGCCTCATTCGATAATAACTCGCGCGCGGGCAAGCGAGCGAGCGAATGAGATGAAGCTTGAATAATGAGGTACACGGAATTGCAATTGTTCGGCTGATGTTCTATTATATCAAGGCCTCGATAATAAACCTGAAAAGGGAAATATTCCAGTTAGCGTTAAAATGCAAAAATGAAAATTGAAAAGCACAAAATGCAAAACACTTTTAGTAGATAAAAGAACGGGAGCAAGCGAAACAAATGCTAAAGAAAGAGAGAGAGAGAGAGAGAGAGAGAGAGCGTGTATACAAAATATACTTGGCCGGCGGAGAGAAAGAGAGAGAGAGAGAGACGAATGCAAAAAACAAACACGCCAAACAGAGTTCTTGTCGCGGTGGAAACATGCGCAGCGGGATATCGGTTTTCGACGAGTCGATGGCGGCTATGACTTGCCTGGCGGCCGCTTTTTCTTTACCATCGTGTTTCCTTTTCTTTTTCCTTAGAGTCGTCGTTAGCTACCAGTACCGGGCTTATAACTCTTCTTCCTTGTAATGAAATCATTGGCGGGCGAACGAGCAACCGGGCGAAAAAAAAAACATCATGAAATTATTGGAAAAAGTTGGCTGCGCAATGGAGCGTGAGCGCTTATTACGTAGGGAGAGTCTTATACAACTGTTCGCCAAGAATTTTGCCTGCTTGTGTGACCTCGCAACCGCCGCCGCCGCGTCGCGCAGCGCCAAGGCAAGAAAACTCTACTGACTACTGCGTTAATATCAAATTTTTCTACGTTAGTATGACATTTGCGCTGTTTACTCTTTGAACGACTTCTTTTTGGTTTTTTCTTTTAATAATATTATTATTATTAGACTGTCTTTTATGCAACTTCCATTGCAGAATATTACCAGCGAAATAATATTAACGAAGCTGCACTGTGTCTTTGTCAGTCTTTTTGTTGTTGAAAGCACAATGAAAGGCTTTAATTTATTGATAAAAAAGAATGAATCTTCTAATACGATCTACGCAATGTAAAAACCAACGAATTCACTATCACAGCATTGAAGTGAAAAAGCTTCGCTGACAAATTCATATCGAGGATCAGAAAGATAAAAAGAAGAATTTCGTTGTTTCGTAAATTTTCAACTAACCCGCAACATTTCGTGGGGCTGGAAAAAACATGAAGGGGATGTCACGTGCATGATTCAATTAATTAAGCGTACGTACAAAAGAGAACTCTGTGTGGTGTCTGCGTTCGAAAAAAAGAATTGGAAAAAGAGGAGGGAGAAAGAGAGGAAAAGGAAAAGTTCACACGCGTTGCAACGCGCGTTCGCGTTTAATTAGCAACGCGTCGGCCAAGACAAAGAGCCCCCCTCCCCCCAAGTCACAAAGCGTCGAGTCGTCGACCGATTGAAATCACTCGTGCGAAAGCAATGTTTTTCCTCGCGCTTCATTTGCACACACACGCGCGCGCGCACACGATTCACGTATAATTAGTAGGTCACAAGAGTGGGTACACGCGCCTCTTTCTTCTCAACCGCCACCGGTACCCATTACTTGTTAAGCGATGGCTGATCGAGATTGCATGCACGGATCGTTATTTAATGGCTGAATTATGCATCCGGGGTTTGTTCCAGAGTATTATAAATTGTCGCGTAAACTTGCATTTACATACTTTACGATATGAGCTTAGCCTTGATCATAAGCTTCATTGTTTATATTGCAAATATTTGAACAACAAGTTCGTGGAGTATGGAAAGCAAAATGGGCAGCAGCTTTGAAATAATCTGAATTCCTTGAGCGAGGTCAAAGAGAAAACATCTATCGATAACGATCTTCGAGTCAAGTGGGAACTTTGGAGCGTTTGGCGTGACAAAGCGTTACCTAGTGTTGCGCGAGAAATCTGACCGAATTTGCGGTGTGCCAGCTCATTTGCGCTCTTCGTTATCATAAGCGTTCGCTAGCGTTCATTTAGGAGAATAAAACGCGCTACGGGACGAGTAAACCGATTGGGTGGATGATTGAATTTTATTATTAATCGAATTGACCGAGTCGCGTTTTGCGTGCGAGCGCAGAGAGCCAGAGCCATGTTTACCGTTAATTTTCTTACTTATCGATTCGTCCTGTTTATTTACGCGATGAAGGCGCGCGCACCAGCGTCAGCGCGAGCGTTAATAACGGCGCTATTTTTGTTGACAGTGCGGCCAGAATGTATCATCCGTGGACGCCGACATATTGCACATACACACATACATATGACCACGATACACTTCACATTTTTACTGATTTAGATATAAAATCTGACACACAAGATATACATAAGAAATGATATAAGATTTATAAGCAATATGTATCCGTGTGTAATAACATGCGCTATATCACTATATTGTGCTCGGCGTTTTAAATAACAAGAGCTAAATATGATCAACTAAAAGAAATGATATATATTACAAACAACAACAACAGCCAAAAAATGGTAATATAGAGTAGCAACAGTTGCAAACGACAATGACGCAGAATAAAAACAGCAGGAGATGCAAGGAAAGAAAAAGACAAAACAAATGAATTATGCATACAAAGAAAGCTGACAGACACAAACACGCACACACTGCTGATGATGAGAAAAGAAAAGGGGTATATGGAAAAACTTGGTGGTTCGTGACGGCGCTTAAAGTCTCTCTCGTGTGCTTGCCTTTTTCCCTTTTTTCATACATACTACTGCCACACTATGAACCTTTATGTATATGACACAGTATAATGCTGACACAAACATACACACATACTATACGTCACACCGATTGACACTGAAGACCTAAATTGACACTCGATTGACTTTGCAAAAATATGTTTCAACTGTTAGACTATTTTTTTCTCTGCCTCAGAGAATTCGGATAATAATCTTGTATCGATTTCATTCTTACTGACAGCGATGATGGCGTCGTTATATTCTATACTTTTCACTCGAGTACAATGTTTTCATTTTATTTTTCATTTATTTTTCTGTCTAGCATTTTTGTTATAAATATTACACAAGCTTCGAAAACTTTGCTATGAACGCTTTTTTCGTATAATATTACCACACTGATATGAGTAGGAAAATATGATAATGTCAATGAAAGAAAATTCATTGAAACAGGTAATATTTATCATTTGATTACTGATTACGCTTCCGTTAGTTGCTGAATTGCTAAGCCATAATATTTAGAAACTTAGAGGTAGCGTAGCCCGCAACAGCGAGTATTGCAGCTATTCTGTACATGAGTAAGTAGTATGGCTCCGTATTCGGCCAGCCATATGCCAATTATGAAGCTTTTAAATTTTAAATAGTTTTCGGCAAATTTATCAGACATTGTTTTCACTTGAGAAATATTAATTAAACTATACGAACAAGAAGAAAACA